AGACTCTCTTTTAGTCACAAATCTACCAAAAATCAAGCCTGGGCTGTCCTGTTGAGCCTTTGGCTTGGGCTTTGCAGAGGTTCAGCACAGACTGAGGTCCCCATGGAGTCCCCGGGATCACTGGAGGGGTTGAAGAGTCGGGCTGAGCCAGCGCTGAGGGATCTGGGGAAGTTGGGAACGGTCAGGGGGAGGGTCATGGTGGGGCTGGAGGAGCTGCGAGGGCTTTTCCAACCCGGATGATTCTGTAACGGGTCCCCTTGCTGCTCTGCTCGCCCTGCCTGGGCTGACCCAAGCTCATGTGGACAGCCCCGTCCTGTTCTTGCCCTCGTGTGGCCCCTTGGGTAAGGTCCCTGTGAGCAGTTCCCTGCTGTCTTGGTGCCTGGTCCTGGTTTCTGGCAGCATCACCCCGTTCCCTCCTATCCCTTCCCCTGCCCCCCTGCCTCACCTCCTTGTCTCCCTTCCTCCTGCCAGATATGAGCTTAGAGTGATAGTGTGGAACACAGACGAGGTCGTTCTGGAGGATGATGACTACTTCACTGGCGAGAAATCCAGTGACATTTTTGTCAGGGGGTAGGTACAGCGTGGCATGCCAGCACCACCTCCCCTGCTTCTCCCCGGGGTGTGTGTGTGGGGGGAATTTAGAGCTCACTGGGGTTCCCTGGGTGGTTTTAGAGCAGGAGGTGGGGGATACGGTCTGTGGTGCCAACGCTGCCGTTGTCTTCTGTGCTGTGTTTCTTGCCTCTCCATCTCTCTCTCTCTCTTGGCTGCACAACCCGCTGCCTGTGCCTGGCCTGGCTGCCCAGCTTTGAGCTGCGGGTTATTATCTGGAACACTGATGAGGTGCTTTTGGAAGATGATGCTTTCCTGGCAGGAGAGAAGATGTCTGACATCTATGTCAGGGGGTAATGGCCGAGGCCTCGCTGCTTGGTCCCGTCTGCCCCTCTTCCGCATTTTGAGTTTGCCTTGATGCCCCCACTTGGCATTTCAGCCCTGCAACCTCCACTTCCAGCAGCTGGAGCCAGATTCCGGGTGGTTCCCATCTCCGCTTCACTCTCACCCAGCAGGAAGGGAAAGCCTCTTCCAAAACTCGCCCGTACAGAGCTGAGGGGACCCACACCTGCCCGTAGCCTGGTTCTTTACAGGGCCTCAAGCCAAGGCCACGGCATTTCCAGTCTGTTAAACTGCTCGGTGCTTCCTCTGCAGCTTCGCCAGCTCAGGCCAGGTCTCCTCTGCTTGCACCTCATGCTTCTCTCAGACAACTGGGTCTGTTTTGGCATCTCGGGTTGTATCAGCCCTGTGACATTTCTGCAAGGGTGCTGAATCTGAGATGCTGCGGCCTTTCCCCATCAGTGTGGTGGGGGATCACCCGACCTTTGCGTTCTGTGGGGCAGAGCTGGGCATTGGCACGCTCAGAGCCTCAGCAAACAACCGTGCATTGGGTGCCTGGTGTGGACTCAGGTCCCTGCTGGCTCTGTTCCCTCAGGACAAATGCAGACAAAAACCTGAGGGCACCCTGGGGAACAGAGATGCCCTAGCTCGTCAGAGAAAGGGGCTGGGGGCCACTCACAGTCTTTAAAACAAAGCTGTGTTCCCTACAGCCCAGACTTATTGCTCTGGACCATCCTCCATGCCCTTTTTGCTCTGGGAATCCTGCTCAGTTGAGCCAGAAAATTAGGGGTACAAACACACGTGATGATAAGGTGGGCATGGCCACCCCATCTCCCAGGGTGGTGTGACTGGGACCCCACTGTCTCCAGCGACACGGCGCCCACGGTGCCTGCCTGAGCTGGGTCCCTTTGGTGGAGGTTGGGTTAGCAGAGACCACCCCACCCTCAAGCAGAGCCTGCAGCAGGCCCTAAAGACCTCTGATGGGCTCAGTAGTTGTGCCCTGACACAGGGACCCTGTGGTGACTAGCGAGAAGCTCTCCACAGCCTTCACTGGGCCTGTCCTCTCTGCCAGTGCAGGATGGGGAAATCCTTCCAGAATGCTCTGCTCCAGCCTCCCCAGCAATGCTCCTTGCTCCTGTCCACCTCTTCGACATCTCCCTGCCCAGAGACAGACCTCTGACAACCCGCTTGCATTTCTCACTCTCAGACCCCTGCTGTTCCTTCTAGGGTCCTCCTGCCCCCATGCCATGCCGCCTCTTGGAGTTGCTGCAGCAGCGATGGAGCCCCAGCCCCTTGCTCACGCCTTTCGGGTCCTCCCAGTCTGTCCTGGAGACATCCTGGCTGCATGGACAGGATGGGCCTGTGCTCTCTCCTCTCTCCTGTAACATGTGCCACCCCTCTCACCCCTCTGGGCCCTGCAGGTGGCTGAAGGGTCAGCAGGAGGACAAGCAAGACACAGATGTCCATTACCACTCGCTCACCGGTGAAGGCAACTTCAACTGGCGCTACATCTTCCCCTTCGACTACCTGATGGCCGAGGAGAGGATCGTCATCTCCAAGAAGGAGTCCATGTTCTCCTGGGATGAGACGGAGTACAAGATCCCGGCTCGTCTCACCCTGCAGGTCTGGGATGCTGACCACTTCTCGGCCGATGATTTCCTCGGTGAGTGGAGGGCCCGTTGAGTTGGGGTGATGGGGCAGCTATGGCTGGCCAAGTAGGGAGCAGTGTGGGATCAGATAAAGCCTGTATAGGAACAGGACCTGGAAGGGCAGCTCTGCTCCTCGAGCCCGCAACATCCTGCAACCCCCCTTTGGATGCTACTGGTAAGAGCGGGTAGGATGAGAGCCCTTGTCTCTGCTGCACAAAGGCTCCTCCTGCAGCAAAGATCTCAGCTTCTTTGTTCCCAGACCTAGTTCAAAGTTGCTCTCCGGGGCAGGAGATACTGTCTCAGCCCACGTGCAGCCAAGGCCTCAGCATTTTGGGAGCCAACATCTGTGCTACCCTTTCTCCTGCCAGGGGCCATCGAGCTGGACCTGAACCGCTTCCCCCGAGGAGCCAAGACGTCGAAACAGTGCAGCCTGGAGATGGTGACGAACGAGGCAGAGCTGCCCATGGTCTCCATCTTCAAGCAGAAGCGGGTGAAGGGCTGGTGGCCGTTCGTGGCCAGAGATGAGAACGATGAGCTGGAGGTCACCGTAAGGATGGGGAAAAGGGAGGGATTTTGCATCCTGGGGACTGCACTCTGTGCAGACACCCTCTGGCCCCCGGCACTTGCCTCTCTTCTCTCGGGTCCCCTCTGTCACCGTGGCTGGGGGGGCTGAGGAGCATTGCCTAGTTCCCAGCACAACTCTGCTTCCTGCAGGGGAAAGTTGAGGCTGAACTGCACCTTCTGACAGCAGAGGAGGCAGAGAAATCCCCCGCCGGGCTGGCTCGCAACGAGCCCGACCCACTGGAGAAACCCAAGTAAGTGGGAAACCCCAGTCCCCAGCAGGCACCTGAGCTCTGGGAGATGCTGGGGGTGCTCCCCGAGGGTGGGGGGGAGGCAGGCATGGAGAGGTGCGGAGGGGTCATGCTGGGGGAATGAGGGTCATGAGCAGAGCCAGCTCTTTTTTTTCCTTACTCTGTTCCTCCTCTGCCTCACTTCTTGGCTCCATCCCCTCGCCTGGGCCTCCCACCACCTCCTGCTCCCCTCCAGTCCTCACCACCAGCTTCCAGCTTCAAGTGGAACCCTCACAAACCCGCATTGCTCCATCTGGCACAGCGTGCCATCTTCCCTGGCCCACCCTCCTGATTCTCCTGGTTGCACTCGTCCACTCTGCAGACTTAACCCTGGGAAGGAATCCTGCACGTCCCTTTGCCCACCATGTCCACTGCCCACCATCCTGCCCTCCTCTGTGGCCATGGCATTAACGATGGGTGTTTGCTTCCCCTGCAGCCGCCCGGACACGTCCTTCATCTGGTTCCTGAACCCGCTCAAGTCCATCAAATACCTCATCTGCACGCGCTACAAGTGGCTCATCATCAAAATCGTGCTGGCCCTGTTGCTCATCGTCATGGTCGCGCTCTTCCTCTACAGCATGCCAGGCTACATGGTCAAGAAACTGCTGGGAGCATGAAGCTTGGGAGCCTCCCCCATGTCCCCAGCCCCGTGGAACAACCTTCCCCCGTCCCAAGCCCTTCTTCTCCCCGCAGCCTCTCAGCAGCTCTGGGGGAGATCTCCCTCCTGCTGCTGCTGCTGCTGCTGGGGCTCCTCTTTTACATTCCTCCTCTGTGGGTCCCATTTGTGGCTTTAGTCCTAGAGAAATGGGGCTGGAGGATGGAGTCAAGCCCGAGGCTGTGTGTCCCTCGCCGGGGCTGGCAGAGGTGCCTGGTGGCTACTGCGGGGCAGCCAGGCTGGGGGGCTCGGAGCCTTTTTTCTCTGGGGACCATGACTGGTGCCCTGCTGGGGTCTTGGAGCTGCAGGGGAAGGGGAAGGGGCTGCACCACGGGAGCGCTCCCCAGAGGCTCCTTGGAGGGACAGTTGGCACCAAGGCTGAAGCAGGGACCTGGGATGGAGGAGCTGGGGCCACACCAGCCCCAGCGGTGGGGGGCCGGGGCACAGAGCAGCCCCCATGCCTGTCCCCCCCCTGCCAGCACGGGCCCTGCTCTGCTCCTGGCTCTGGAGGTCACTGACCCCCAGCCCGGGGGACTCCCAGCAGCGCTGCCCCGAAGCCGCAGAGGCCCTGCAGGGAGCCCGGGGGCTGTACCCGGGGCAGAGCCTGCCTGTCCCTCCCCAGGGCTCTGGCAGAGGCAGCTCCAACCTCTGCCCGGGGTTCCCGACCCAGAGGTGGTGGTGGCTGGACAGCCCTGGGGGGGGACTCACAGGGAGCTGGGGACTCTGGCACAGCGAGAGCTCCCTGGAGCCTTCTTCATTCTCCATTTCATTTTGTTTGGATTTCTGTGTATCGTGGCCGGGGTCTGTCCTGCCGGGTGGAGCAGGGAAGGGCTCTTTTCTCAGCTCTCTGCAACATTCAGCTGCTGAAAAGCCACCCTCTCCGGCTTCAGGTGTGTAAGACCCTCACTGGAGAACTGACAGATCGGAGATGTTTTAGGATACTACTGGTTGAATCAGTCAATAAAAATTGTCTTTCACTTCTGAGTTCTTCACCGCAGTCTCATGATAGTGGGGAGAGGGGAGCCCATCACTGGCTGTTTCTCCAGATGAGCACATTCCTCCTTCCCTCCACTTCTCCAGCACAGCCTCTTCTCCCGCTTCCTCGCCCCAGGGCCCGTTCCCTGGGCACACCCCGGTCCCCCGGCTGCGGTTCACCTTCTGCTTGCCACCCTACAAGAGAGGGGAGGTGAGCAGGGACCCCAGGGCTCCATTTGTCCCCCAGAGCAGGGAGGGGGGCCCTGGGATGCAAAGGGGTCTCTGAGCGAAGGGGCTTTGGGGGGTGTGAGCAGCAGCAGCTCCTGGGCTTCCCTGCCTGACATCAGCCCTGGCCCACTGCCTGCCCCGCAGGATGGCCACCTCCCCCCACCTCTTCCGTGCCCAGTGTGGCACACGGCACCCTCCCAGCATCGCTCCAGGGGGATTTTGGGGAACCGATGGGTTCTCTGCCAGACGTAGACGGTTTCCCCAGCCAGGACCAGCTCAAAGCCCATCCCCAGTTCCAGCTGGAGCTCCTCCTGGTGCACCAGCAGGTCCACGCTGTGGAGGATGGCGGCCAGCGTGGGCAGGTCCCGCTCTGGCAGGGGCTCGCTGTGGTGCGGGCAGCTGCCGGTGAGGCACCGCCGGCACTCCAGGCAGGTGGCATATTCTTTGCGGATGTCTTGGGAAACGCTTGGAGCGCCGCTATCCCGAGACTCCTTCAGTTTTCCCAGGAGGTCGCGGCAGACTCGGGTCACGCCCAGGGAGCCCATGAGGGACGTGGCCAGCTCCTCCAGGTCGCTGCTGTGGGAGGAGGAGGGCTGGTTCCTGAGGAGCTCCGAGCTGGTGGCAGCACCGATGTTCCCGTCTCGCCCCACGTCTCCCGTCCTGTGGGGGAGCTCCCTTGCAGAAGCCGCGTCCCCGCCGACGCCGCTTTCCCACCCTTCTCCTTCGTGGCGCTTCCTCCAGCTGTGGGGGGAGATACCGGCTGGAGTGTGGGGCTGCTGTGGGGCAGCCCGGACCCAGCACCCTCTCCCTGTCTTCTCCCGCCCGCCTGGGTGATCCTGCCGGCCCTGCTGGCTCTGGGGTGCTCCGGGTGATGGGGGGGTCGTGGGGACACGGGGCAAGGCCAGCCCAGCAGCACGAGGGGCACAGCGAGGGGCCGGGCACCTTCCAGCCCCGGCAGAGAAGGGCCAGGCCAGGGGCTGAGGACAGAGAGGGGTGCTGGGGCCACCGGTGGGCTCTGTGGGAGGGGCCTGGTGCTGGGAAGCTGCCACCCCCCGAGGGATGCCCTGGCCCTCCCCAAGCCAGCCCCCGCTTCCCTCGGCGCCCAACCTCAGGGGCTCAGGGCCAGATCCTGCTCTCGCCCCCCTGCAGCCTCCCCAGGGCAAGGGCGCAGCTACACGGGGCAGAGGGACCCCCGAGAGGGGCTCCTGGAGGACTCACCTTGCCGTCTGGCTCTCGGTGGCCCCTTCCACGGCTTCGCAGGGGACGGAGGTGGCTCCTGGCAGAGGGAGGGAGAAAGCAGAGGGACAGTGAGCGAGGGCAGGCGGCGCGGGGGCTCTGCCGCAATGGCGTCCCTCAGCCGGGAGCCGCTGTGGAGCCCGGCGCAGCTCTGGGCCGGGGTTGCTCACCTATCGGGTCCTTCCTCCCGTCTCTCCGACAGCTCTTCTCCTCTGCAGAGCTCCCCTGTGCCTAGAGCACAAGCCCCGCGTTAGTTAGTGCAGGGGGTCTCCCCTGGGCCAGGAGGAGCCCTGCCCAGCAAACGAGGACCCCGGGAAGGGGCAGCTGGAGCTCCGGGGGCAGGACTGGCCCCGGCCCCAAGCCTGGGCTGGGGCCTGAGCAGAGGGGGCTCGGTGGCTCCCGAGCAGGGGCCGTGCTGGGTGGGCAACGGCCACTGGTCACTGCTCGTCCCCCGCTTACGGGGCCTTCCGAGCACCCCGGGGACGGGCTCTGCCCGGGGCTAAGCCCTGCCCAGGGGGTGTCGGGGGGTGCCATGACCAACACCTACCTTGGCCTTGGCCTTGCTCCTGGGCCAGCAGGCTGCGAGGAGGCCCAGGGTGAGGACAGATAACAAATTGGGGGCGCAGGGCAGCACCACCATGAAGAGGCCCCACACGGAGAGGCTGGAGATGAAG